TAAAGAGTCCCAGTGATGACTTTGTTAATGAAGCAAGTAATGTAAACAAACGCAACGTGGGATCAATTTAAAGATCCTATTTTGCACTAGTGATGCAGTTAAAACAAAAATTCTGATATTTTTCCAGGATATCGTTTGCAATTAAGTAAGGTCACCAAATTATTTTGCAGTCAGTGACCAAAGAAAAAAAAATAAAATGAAATTATAGGTGGCAGAAATTGAAAGAAAACGATATTACAAATTAGAAGGGAGCGAAGAAAAATAACAACAATCATTGTACAGACAACAAAAAACTACTGCTGATGCCAAACAACATAATGTCAGTATGGGGAGTGAGATTAAAAAAAATGTCAGTATGGGGAGTGAGATTTAAAAAAAAATGTCAGTATGGGGAGTGAGATTTAAAAAAAAATGTCTGTATGGGGAGCGAGATTTAAAAAAAATGTCAGTATGGGGAGTGAGATTTTAAAAAAAATGTCAGTATGGGGAGTGAGATTTAAAAAAAAATTACCTTTTTAATAATCGCCTATAAACTAGTTTCACGAAAAGTGTGGCACAATAATCCGAACAAGTATAGGAATAGCGGCAGATATATTCGCAAAATAATCAAATTAAGATAGAAGAAAGTTTCGTTAAACACAAAGAAAAGAGCTCTGAACTGCTATGTAATATCTAATCTTCTATATAGCAGTGAATGCTTGACAATCTCTTCATGCCTTTCACAAACTAAGCAAAGTATTAAGAGTTGGGAAAATATCATTAGAAAGAAAGAAAAGAGTGCTGAACTGCTATGTAATATCTAATATCATATATGGCAATGAATGCTGGACAATCCCTTCATGCCTTTCACAAACTAAGCAAAGTATTAAGAGATAGGAAAATATTAGAATCAAAGAAAAGAGTATTGAACTGCTATGTAATATCTAATATCATATATGGCAGTGAATACTCGACAATCTCTTCATGCCTTTCACAAACTAAGCAAAGTATTAAGAGGTAGGAAAACAACATTAGAATCAAAGAAAAGACTGTTGAACTGCTATGTAATATCTATAATCATATATGGCAATGAATGTCGGAAAATCACCTCATGCCTTTCACAAACTAAGCAAAGTATTAAGAGATAGGAAAATATTAGAATCAAAGAAAAGAGTACTGAACTGCTATGTAATATCTAATACCATATATGGCAGTGAATGTTGGACAATCCCTTCATGACTTTCACAAACTAAGCAAAGTATTAAGAGATAAGAAAATGTCGTTAGAAAGAAAGAAAAGAGTCCTGAACTTCTATGTAATATCTAATATCATATATGGCAGTGAATACTCGACAATCTCTTCATGTCTTTCACAAACTAAGCAAAGTATTAAGAGATAGGAAAATATCATTACTATCAAAGAAAAGAGTGTTGAACTGCTATAGAATGTATAATTTCCTATATGAAAAATGAATGCTGCAAATGTTTCTCAAGAGATGAAGATGAGGTTAGAAGCAAGAGGTATATTTTCCTAACGATGAATGCTGAGAATATCAGACAAAATATGTAAGAAACCAAGAAATTTTAAGGAAAACTAAGAACTAAAACTCTAAAAGAGACACTTGAAATCTTTGGGATAATTAATAAGGTAAAAGGGCTTGGGGAATTTAATACTCACAGGATATAATGAAGGCAAGAGGAATTCAATCGAAACGGAAAGGAATTTACAGAGTAGAGACTACGGAAGACGCTAACGGACATTTCCTGCTTCCTGCTTTCCAGTAAAGTTTGAACATCAAAAATTTAAATACAATATCAATCGGGAAATTCTGTCTTCTTAATTCCTGTTCTTTTATCGTCATCTCTCTTTAAAAATGTTGTTCTTTATTCACATTCTCACACACTCGGTAATTCCTTGCATCTTAGAGTCTTTATTGCCTTTCTTGGGTTAAAACCATAAAAGATTCTTCGAACTGCAGATAGGAAGCTCACAGAGAAGCATAACATCACATGTCCTGACGGGACATGAATATAAAATTAGTCACAATCTAAAAAAGGTATATTTAATCCTAATGACCAGACATGAAGCAACAGAAATATGATTCAACACAAGGATGCTAAGAATATTAGTATTGAACTATTATAAAGTGTCAGTCCTCCTCTATGGAGGTGAATGCTGGACAATATCCTTACAGATGAAGAAGAGACTTCAAGCAACAGAAATATGGTTCAACACAAGGATGCTAAGAATAGGATTACTGAACTATTATATAGTGTCAGTTCTCCTCTATGGCAATAAATGCTGGATAATAACCTCACAGATGAAAAAAAAGAAGGAAAAACTACTGCCGATGTCAAAAAAACTGATGTCATTATGGGGGGGGTAAAAAAGATTACATTTAATAAAATTTAATAAATTAAACCATAGTGCATAATATTTTTGTTGTAAATTCCCAAGAACCTTAAAATTGCATAAATTCACTTTCGTCATATATTCAGCTATTATTACAATTCTAATCATTGCTTTTTAAAACAATAACCAATGCCGAAGAGTGAAGGTAGTTAAAATAAAACCCGGTGTCATGGGAAAAAATCAATTTTTTTCTTTGCGGACACGAATGTCCATGTTTACTTCTTTCTTCTCTCTTTCCTTTACTGCTTTCTATAGGTTTTCTTATAGCTTTCTTTACTTGTCTGCTATCAAGATTATGTCATCTGCGTATCTTATGTTGTTAACATTGTGCCCTCCAATAATGAATCCTGATAGGACATCTAGTTCTCTGAGAGCCGCCATGCTGTAGAAGCATAATAAGCCCGGTGAGACGACACATCCTTCTCTTACACCCGTTTCAATTTTTTTTATATTTTTTGAATGGAAATGATATTAGAAAAATCAAGAAACTATATCGGCGGCAAGCTGACTGAATCCGGATAGAAAATTTACTGAGGCGAGTTTAGGATTTATATTTCTCTCAGAATCGCCTCAGTTAATCAGGGGAGAAAACACATCCTAGTTTAACATCCCATTGTATTTTTGTATATTTACTGAATGCATTTTCTACCAATGTACGACCACTCCGATTCAGGGAGCTTTAGTATCGTATGCAAATGAGATAGACAAGTATAAATAGAGAACAACTGGTGAACATATGGTTATTGCTTAGCAAACCCGTTTGCTAAACGTAACTGCGCTACGACTGCTACCACACAGAGAGATATACCAAACATAACAATGGCGTCACCGATAGGATCGTTAAATTCGCTAGACGACCCAGAACACATAGAAACATAGATAAGAACTTTTGCTGCATTTACAAGAGTCAAAAGATTAAGAGACATAAAGACCAACGGAGGAGAGACAGAGAGAACCGTTATAGAGAAAACAAGAAAGACAAGAAGAAGGACAGCATAGTACAAGAATAATCAGGAATAGTAAAAGAAAAAAAAGGTTGTACAATCATTCTGATTCAGGGATCTGTAGGAGTGTAAGCAAATAAGATAGACAAGTATAAATAGAGAACAACTGGTGAACATAAGGTCATTGCTTAGCAAACCCGTTTGCTAAACGTAACTCGGAGAACTGTGCTACGACTGCTACTACACAGAGATATACCAAACATAACAAATCGATAAGATAAATTCATTCATCTTGTAAATGATTATGAATTCCATTTATAAGAAAGTGATGGCATTTGTCTATTTCTACCCTTTTGAAGTATGTTTTGATAAGAATATAAGACATGATCCCAATGATTCACGCAGTGATATAAATAAAAAAAAAATATTCGTATTATTACTTTATTACATTCCTTTTAAAGACAGCACTTCTAGTTATTAGCAAAAGTGTTTATACTGGCGCGACGTGGATAACTTTTTGCTGTATCGATGAAAGCATGATTTAGGTACATTCGTCAAAAGACTAAGGAACAGTGGTCTTAGGAACATTGGTCTAAGGGAAACCTGTCTAAGGACATTTGTCTAAAGAATACTCGTCTAAGGACACTTGTCTATGAAGTATCCACTTAAGGGCCATTGGTCTATGTTGTAACCGGAAACTAAGGAAACGGAAGCACCGTTTCAGCTATTGTTCAGACCCGGAAGTACTGCCTGCATACAGATAGAAAATTTACTGAGGCGAGTTTAGGATGTATAATTATCTCAGAATCGCCTTAGTTAATCCGGTGAGAAGACATATCCTAGTCTATCATCCTATTTTATTTTTGTATATTTACTGAATTCATATTTTTAATAAAAAATGTTTTAAATCTGAAATGTTTTATAATTTTAGAATACAATGAAATAATAACGACATTTGACGTTTGATAATATTACCAGTTTTCGGTAAGCACTTACATTACAAGTGCTTTTCCAACATTGATAACAGCCTTCCTCTTCAAGATCTTCCGTGAGACGCCAGAGCTTCGTAATTATTCTTAAATACAGCGTTTTCAAACAGTTTCCAGACCAATGGTTTCGTGTTACGTCCGCCACGCCGATTATCCAGCCGATCCCCGAGTCGAATTCCGAAAATACTTATGCAAAATAATTGCCAAGATGAAATTTTATGTAGACGGCGCACATTTCAATCAGACCCGTTCAATAAACGCAGCTCGGGGAACATGTTAAAGCGGGAAAAAGAAGATACGATCGCTGGAAATGGTGGTGGAGTTGAGCGCTCTCGAGAATTGAAAGTCAATGAAAGAAACAGTTAAATATTTGACAAAAGGACATCAGTGCCAAAAGAGGATCTTAGCACTTAGCTGACAAAGCATAATTCATTCGTGATACGCACAAATGGTCAGCCTATTAACGCTGATCCTTGAGCTCCTTAGATGCTTGGACAAAGAAGGTGCGTAGTCGGGGAATCGTGGTCAACGGTCCGAGCTCTGAGCTTAAATAATTAGCGTAATGACTTCTCGGTTGACAAGCTGCTAGTTCACGACTAATTAAGTGTATTCTCAAATGATGACAATCATATAATGTTTCGCTGAATCTCTAAACACGGATAAGGTTGCAGAAAAGTTAGGGTTGGGTATCGTTCGGGCAAAGAGTAAAGAAAGGCGCCACTAATGCTGAAAGGCGGAGGTTATTTTCTTCCCGGCTCAACTGTCGTCGACAGCCACACTGAGTGTTTGGTAAGGAAGATGGCGGGGATAGATACTCGTTGTTGGCAGGGGTGGGATTTCGTGAAATTTGCATATGGATATCGTTTGGCATTTACTTTCCTTGGAATTGGATTTCAGGAAATAGCAAGATTAAATCAAACGGGGAAAATATTTAAGTATCCTGGAACTGAAAGATATGAGTGCGGTTCCACAGGAAAGACTCGTAGAGAGATAGACACATAAGTAGCTAAACAAATAAACGAGAAAACGGAGACATATAACCAGACAGCGATGGATACACTTACGTGGCTAACGTGAGGGATGGTTATTTATAAACTTGGGGGTCGTAATTTTTGCTCAATATTTAATAAATGGTGTGGCGGTAATAAAGAGAGGTCGGAAAATTGTTTAATAAGACCAAAAAGTTTGAAATCAAGGGTTGTCCTCGTAATGTCGGAGTAGGTAAGGGTCTCCGGTAATAATTACCGGAGACCCTTATTTGTTTTTTGTGCAGAATAGTAGAGTGTTGCTTGATTGATATGGGTTTCTTACGGCCTTTGTGAATTATTTAAAATTGAAACATATTCCAGATTGTAGGAGATTGTTTACCACACCGGGTGTCCCCTAGCAATATCCTATCTAGCTAATTGCAGGTCTCGACTGCTTAAATATATAATGAACAGACTGAGATAGATAGATAGATAGATAGATAGATAACCTGCAGAATGAAATATATAACATACATACTGAAATAGATAATGAACAGACTGAAATACACAGATAGATAGATAGATAGACAGACAGACAGACAGATAGATAGATAACGTATATACTGAAATAGATAATGAACAGACTGAAATAGATAGATAGATAGATAGATAGATAGATAGATAGATATCACATTGTTTTAAAAGAAGCCAGAGTTGTCTATTCAGACAATTTTATACACTCGTTATAACGTTTTTAATAGGGTCGTAAGTGCACCACGCCGCGGCAGTAGAAATGGTGTTTCTTGGGCATGATGGCCTGACAGAGCCAAAAACCTCTACAGACCGGTTTTGGATTCAAAGTTTCCTTCTCCTAGATCGATTCCATCCAAAGCTATAGAACCCAGTCTCTCCAGCTATTACCTATAGTAGAAAATTTACACATGCGAATCATGTAAAGATATTGACATGTGTCAATATCTGGTAATTAACTCATGTCTTCTCTCTCTCCCACCTCACTTCTTCACTTCGTTAATTTACATATGTTTAATACGGCCCGTCAAAAATGTGTAAATTTTCTTTTCATTTTTGTTTGGAAGTAAAGTCTGATGATCCACAGTCCACCCAAAAAGGGCTGTGGTGAAATAATTATTACATTGAACCTTAAAGTAGTCTGTTTTATTTAAATTATTTGCTCTGGATTTACATTGAGCTCTCTGGATTTTTATCCTCCTTAGGTTTAACCATACGGATTACCTAGTTTTTCATAAACTATATATATATATATATATATATATATATATATATATAAGAGAGAGAGAGAGAGAAAGAGAGAGAGATGGAGGGACAAATCTCTCATCTACGGACCCCACCCCCATCAACGGACTCCAGACGAAACGGACAAAATAAAAATAAAATATATGCATAAAAAAATAGCAAATCCTCAACGATGTATTACAAAATTTGCGGGCTTAACGGAACTAGTCGTATTAGTTTTCAAAGTGACCACTTGGGGCGGTAGCGTGCCTTTCAATTTTATACAAAGATGGGTGTCAGTCAGTCAGTGATACACGCTTTCGATACGTGACTGACGAGGCAGTTTTTTCCCCGCTGTAATGTTGCCATTTCTTTCTGCGGTAGAACAGTTGACATCCAAGGCTATAGAACCCGGTCTGTCCTACTATTTACCCGTAGCTGGGGGGAGAAGAAGAGGATTCATGCCTTTCCCAATTTAATGGATTCGACTGGAATTCGAACTCGGCTCTCTGATACTTCAATCCGAGACGCTATCCATTACTCCATATTATAATGTACAATACATTAGCGCGTGCGTGAGAAAGTAGCCATGAGAAATATATTATTTTTATTTTGATTAATATACCTATATTAAATATATATTTATTTATGCCATATATACATGTTTATAGTATTTTAATTATGTTCATAATAAATGCTAGCTACTTTATTAATCCCTTGCCATATACGCAGAATCGGTATATATATATATATATATATATATATATATATATATATATATATATATATATATATATATATATAGTCGACTCTTCCGTCGAATTCAACGTATGAAGGTCAAGCAGATCGGTTCCTATGAAATCGACAGCCCGACAACTGCACATGAGAACTGATTATAGTGGCGAAGGTTTCGTGCAGGACCATCCACCCTTTTGAAGGGCCGAATACAGAGATCTGGTGCACTATGCCACAAGGTCCCCAAACGACCCTCCGCAGGTTTTGAATTCAGAGTTGTCCTTCTCCAAGACCAGTGGCCATCCAGTCTGTCCTGCTATTTACCCATAGCTGGAGGGAGAAGAGGATTCACACCTTTCCTCAGTGTATTAGCACGTAAGTGAATGTTAAGGATTCGACTGAATTCGAACTCGGCTCTTTTTTCCTCAATCCAAGCATATATATATATATATATATATATATATATATATATATATATATATATATATATATATATATATATATATATATATAAATCTCCATAGACACTTAACCAGACTAGACAATGTCATCTTCCGCTTTAAATTTAGACACCCCCAACCTTACCCTGATTTGACGTCTTTGAATGTAAATGAGATATTGATACAAATTATTAACCCTTACGCTCCTTTTCCTTAAACAATTGCTCTAGCCGTTACCATAGTAATTTAATTTTAATAATGAATATGCTTATAAAACGCGTAAATTTCAGGAATTAGATATTCCCCCAAAAATTTCGCTTGAAGATGGAACAGAACTTGGTACTTTAATTCAAATAATTATATTGAAGTTTTCAGCTCTTGTTTTGAAAAGTGAGAATTCTTATGTAGCGATGGAATCATATTTTTAAATAAATAATTATATATATATATATATATATATATATATATATATATATATATGTTTTCATATATATATATGTTTTCATATATATATATGAAAAAAAGAGTAGGAGTATCGCTTTGGCGGACAGAAAGCATCAAGCCGAAACTGCATTGTCGTCGACACAACAGAACCCCTTACCATGTTGCAACAGTCTATAATAATACTTTTTTACATAAATTTACACTTAGTTCATGTACAAAAATCTCAATTTTATTTATATTCACTATATTACAAAATAATATTTAAGACACTTATAGCAACATTAATTACTGACGATACATGTAGTTTATAAGCATGTATTGGCATTATTTTAAGCATTTCACCCCAAACAAGGCGAGGAGTGACACTAACACACAAGGAGAGAGTGGGAGCAAGAGTAAAGAGATGTGATAGAAGAAAGGATAAAGAGAAGGACGTTCAATAGATCAAGGCATCTGGAGATGTCAACTGACATTACATTTGAATATTTGGAGAATATAGCTATCAGGGAAGCAAGTAAGAAGAAGGGAGTTCCACAGACGGGAAGTTCGATACATGAAGCTATTGGAGTAGAAGAGACGGCTATATTTAACTGAGAGATATTTAAGCTATTGGACGGCTATATTTAACTGAGATATTTAAGCTATTGGATGGCTATATTTAACTGAGAGATATTTAAGCTATTGGATGGCTATATTTAACTGAGAGATATTTAAGCTATTGGACGGCTATATTTAACAGAGATATTTAAGCTATTGGACGGCTATATTTAACAGAGATATTTAAGCTATTGGACGGCTATATTTAACTGAGAGATATTTAAGCTATTAGATGGCTATATTTAACTGAGAGATATCTAAGCTATTAGACGGCTATATTTAACTGAGAGATATCTAAGCTATTAGATGGCTATATTTAACTGAGTGATATCTAAGTTATTAGACGGCTATATTTAACTGAAAGATATTTAAGCTATTGGACGGGTATATTTAACTGAGAGATATTTAAGCTATTGGAGTAGAAGAGACGGCTATATTTAACTGTTTCGACAATGAAAGGGTGGGACTGAGATGCCAACCTAGTAGCAGGCTTAAATTAATGCAGTTTGGGAACAAGCGAAAGTAGCTCGTCGGAGCAGTTTCCGTGAAAGCATTTGTAGAAAAGACAGAGGAAAGCGACGGCACGTCTGTGAGAAAGCGACTGTAAACGAGACGCCAGATCAGGGCCAATCACATTGCATATCCGTCTCTGGATTTTGTCGAGGGCTTTAAGACAAACAACGGGGGCTCCAGACATTATATGGAAACAATATTCCATGCAAGGCCGAATGGTTGATATATAGATTTGAAGGATGGATTCGGGCGATAAAAACTTTCTGACGTGTCACAGAGATGCGTTGTCTGAATATTAATGCAACCCACATTAGACCATAATTATCTAGACGAATATTTCTTAGACGTATATTCTTTTGACGTGTGTTCTTTGGATCGATATTCTTAGAAAGAATGTATTCATTAGACCAAAATTCCTTGGACGAGTGTTCTTTAGACAAATGTTATTTAGACAAATGTTCTGGATCCAATGGAAGCAATACAGTGTCGCATGTAAATGATGTTTCAAATCCCGCATGCAGTAAAAAGATAATAGCAAGTTCCTTTAATAAATTATGTAGGTAAAACGCCCCAGATCCGTAGTTAAATATGTCCGTTTTACATTGCAAACCCTGTATCAAACTCACCTCTCTGCCGTTTCGCCCACGAAGAGCCTTCAAATTGCTGACTGATTGATTACTCCTCGGGTATTATTTAATTTAATCTTTCGTCTGATAGGACACGCACTGCGGAGATGGCGTATTGTTGAACTATCAATTAGCCTAACACCTTGGGATTTCTTCACGTAATGTCACGAATCCCGTAACACATTAAGGTCGTCGGCGTAGCATTCTTACTGTTGTCCTATCACTAGTCTTATTTATACTGGTTTTAAATTTAAATTTGTTTCTTCTCTTAACCTGTTCGCTACCTCAAGAACTCGGGTGAGAAAAATTTTGTTGCGCGTCACAGAGATGCGTCGTTTGTATATTTATACAACCCACATTAGACTATAATAATCTAGACGAATATTTCTTACACGTATATTCTTTTGACGAGTGCCCTTTGGAGCGATATTCTTAGACCTGTGTTTCGCCCGCGAAAAGCCTTCACATTTCTAACTGATTACTCCTCGGGGTTTATTTAATTTGGCCTTTCGTCTGCTGGGACACGCAATACGGAGGTGAGGGTAATGTTGAACAATCAATTAGCATAACACCTCTTTTTTTCTTCACGTCCAGTCACGAATCCCGTAACGCATTAGATTCGTGAGCGCAACATACGTCCTGCTGTCATATCACTAATGTGCCCAGTCTTATTATTTGAATTTAATGTTTTTCTTCTCTAAACATGTTTGCCAACTCAAAGCAAGACAACCCGGTCATTCATACTATTTAACCCATTTCTGGGGAGAAGAAACATCGGAATACTTTTTTCCAAGATTATTTAAGCAAAAATCGAATGCACCGTATATACTCGAGTATCATGCGACCTTTGAAGGCCTAATTTTGAAGCTAATTTGACTTCAGCAAAGAGAAGTATAGTTTAGTCTACTGTCTAGCGAGCGTCAGCAATACTTACTCTAATTTTATATCTCGCATACGATGCGACCCTCTTAAAATTAGCTACAAAATTGTATCTTCAAAAGTAGCATGATATCCGAATATGTCACGTGATTCATAATTCGGCGAAAATTTTCCAGTCGTTAACTAGGAGACGATATGTACATTCACTTGGATATTTAGAGAAAAAAAAGATAATGGTTTATTAAAATCCAAAAGTACTCAGGCGTTGGATAAATTGTAATTAAAATAGAAAATAGGTCCAAGATATAGAAAATTGATATTTCCCGGAAAGGGATATCTTTGTTCGAAGTGGCAAAGTGGTTTTGGACTACTCTAACCGGGTAGAACAATCTAGCAGGTAACCGTAATGGACTGGTCTTCGTCGTAGCGGTAGGCAATAGACGTAGGCAATAGGCGAAGACTATAAGCCTAGCCTTTAGG